GGGGTTTTTAGTCGTTTTATTTTATGTTCTGCTGTGTTCCACCCTTCTCGGTAGGACTAAAATGGAGTAAATTAGTACCATTTGACCAAGTCAATAACCGACTTTGTCCTAGTCTTATTTATGCCAAACATCTATTCAAAGGACTAAAATGGAGTAAATTAGTACCATTTGACCAAGTCAATAACCGACTTTGTCCTAGTCTTATTTATGCCAAACATCTATTCAAAGAACTTTGTTCTGTGCTGTCCAGTCCAGTCCCACGCAACAAACGCTACCTAAGAGATAAGGACTTTGAAACGAAAAATGTCAAAAATGAAGTTTGTATGAAGGAATTACGATTTTTTAGAAAAGTATAAAATACGGATTTAAAATAAAAGTTAAAGTTTGGCAATGCGACCTTAAGGAAAGTTGTAGTACTAGTAGAGAGCTACACAAATATATAAAGAGGGTAAGAAACAAGATTCATATAAGGAAGATACGATTTTTTTATAAAAGATTTAGGGTGCACGCCTAGTGCACATCATGCTCATTGCGCACACTTGACACCCAAATTCGTTGAAGATTCAGGAAACGTGGACCATTAGGAGCGTGACACATGGCAAGCTCTAAATGGAGCCACGAAGCGAGTGCACGTCGTGCATGAAGTGCGCCGCGCACACAACCACTATATATAGAGGTGCTCACTTTCTGATTTTCTCATCCCAAACACTCTCTCTATACCTCTCAAGCTGTTCCGGAGACCCTCTCGATGGCGCAAAGCTTCTGATGCTTTAGAATACGCTACTAGAGTGAGTTCACAGCGTATATTTTACTATTTTAAATGTTTTATGCGGGGGGGGGGGGGGGGGGGGGGTTATCAAAATATATTTATATTATATCAAATTATTTTATAAAGCTTAGAGCCTTAGGAGAATGTAGCTATAGAGACTATGCCTAGCTGTAACCTATGATATTATTCCTAAGAGTTATGATGCCCAATACTCTAGGAAGAGATAATACCTATATGTTATAATGTCCAAATACCTAGGATAACGTAGTACCTAGAAGTTATGTTGGTCAAATATAGAGATATGCACTGTATTTAGTTGTTACTCTGCCTATATATTATGTTTTCAAATAACCATAATTAGGGTGTATATATATATATATATATATATATATATATATATATATATATATGAATACTTGTATATACAAAATAGTTATGAGATCAAAAGATATAATTATCAAATATAAGACTAAAAGTTTTATATTGTGATAGTTATAGGAAATCCCTAGGAATGATTAAAAGAGAAAAGATAAATACTTAAGATCAATGCGTTAGTGAGTTGTTATATTCATCCAAACGCCTTGATTAAATTCGACATTCCTCGATACCTATAATCGTTAATAATGCGAGAGCTAAGAAGATATGTATAGATCTATATGGGGGTTGCCAACCCCACCTGCGATTGTTAGCTATAATCCCGACATGATAACTTTCTTATTATTCACTATTCGACGTCTGATGAAGCGTTGTAGCGGGGCAAATTATTAGTCAAACAACGTTGATTATGATGGCTCATGGTAATACATTATATCACCTTAGAGATTTGACTACCATTAGAGACACCTTAGAGTGGTAGATAAAATACTTTAGGATTTGGTAAATATCCTACAAAGATAGTTAATTATTAGTAGTAACATATCCTAAAGATAATAATATAGGATTGTTAGAAATTCTAAAAGATAATAGGATCGGTAGATATCCTGAAAAGATAGCAAGTTAGCATTAATAATATATCCTAAAAGACAATAAAATACGATTAGCAGAATGTCCTAAAAAGATAGAGGTGATATAATACAACATAGAAAACTAGGAAGCCAAAAATATTAAAGATTGCTAAAAGTTTTCAAAAGAGTTTATTATCACATTACCTCAAAACATGTGAACTCACCAACATCAAGTTAACGTTTTCAAAAATCGCATGTGTTCCTTGGATGGAATAAAGATCAAGTCAGGAAAGGATTATCAACATGAAGACTCATAGATTTTCGTTTAAATAGGTAATTATGATTGGCACTCTGTGATTTGGGAAATCTTTGTACCGTTACCACTCGGCGTTTCCGCAATCGGTCGAGGAAGGTGTAAGACATATAGATCGAACAAAATTTTATAAAGCTTTCGACTACATTCACATATACACTTGTGCCAAAAGCTTCCCATAAAACTCATAACACTTGCAAAGCTTAACTATAATCATAGTACTCACCCTTAGAGTATAGAATATCATCACTTACATCAAAGGCATGTTGTTCCTTTTCACACTTATAACTTTTCATAAAGCTTCTAATACATATATTCACTTATAGTTTCCATATGCTTTAGATACACATACGCTGATCGACTTTTTTCCAATCATATCAATTATTCAGTTACATAGATATAGAGCTTAACCATAACTCTCGTTGGACAATCATACGTATACTATTGGTTAAATTCATCAAACTATGAACAATTCCCTTTTAAAATCATTTAAATATTTGGCATGCTCGACTGCTTGTTCTTTCCAAAATATTCCTTTTTATAACTTAAGGAAATTAGGAATTTACATTTTAAAATCCTTTGGAATCAAAATATTATCACATAATCAAGCACAACGACATCTAGTGCCTTATTTACACATTTTCCCATAACATCAATAACTCTGATATGTACCCAGAAAAATACACATGTGCTCACCTAGCTAGTTAGTGAAGACTATTATTGACGGATCCCTTCTTCACATAATTATGGATTTTCTCCATTTTAAAAGTTGTATGGTAACTTAGTTAATTTCTCCTCATTACGAGTTTTTGGTGTACTTGCTTTGTTCTCCGCCTACATGTTGAGCGGAACAAGAAATATTAATGATCAATTTTATGTCTTTTTCTAGGATATGGTATTGATATAGTACTACTCATGTTCCATCTGCTCCTGAAACTGATCATCCACCTGTTGTTGTGACTACATATCATCCACTACTTTGTAAGTCTAATCGTTCTCTGAAGTATACCAAAATCATAGAGTTTGATTCTTTATCTTATTCAACTTCGTTTGCTTCCTTTATTAACAATATATATACTTGTTCAGATGCGTCATACTGAGAGTTTGTTTATGATCCCCTTTACGAGAATGTTATGGCTGATGAGCTTACGACTCTTCATCATACTCATACATGGGATCCTATTCTACTCCCACCCGGAAAACATATGATTGGTTCTTGTTGGGTATATAATATTAAAACTAAGTATAATAGGTCAGCTGAACGATACAAGGCCAATTTTTTTAAGAAGGGATATTAGCAAAAGTATGGTATGGACTGTAGGGAGACTTTTATCCCATTTGCAAAATGACGACTATTCATATTCTAACAACATTTACTTATATTCGATAATAGATGATCTTATAGATGAATGTCAAGAATGTGTTCTTGAATGGTGATCTTGGGTATTCATGATTATATATTGGTGATGACTATGTTGGTATTGAATCCTTAAATTGTGATTTGGCTCATCAGTTTGCTATAAAAGACATAGGGATGTTTGTTATTTCTTAGGTATTCAGGCTACTCAATCTCCAAAAGGTTAACTTCTATCTCAGTCGAAATACACATACAATTTATGTGAACGTTCACGACGCACTAACAATATGAATGCTGACATACCACTTGAAACCAGTGCCCAACATTCTACAACTGATGAAGTTTCTTTATTTTATCCAAGCTTGTATTGTATTATTATTGACAATTAGGTTTACCTTACTATCACTCGCCCAGACATAACTTATGTGGTTCATGTGGTTAGACAGTTTGTAACCACACCTACTACTGTTTATTGGGAAGTTGTTTTTCATATTTTGAGATATCTTCGTGGAACTTAGTTTTAGAGTCTTTTGTTCCCATTTTCGTCTTCTCCAGAGTTGTATTCTTGTAATGATGATGATTACGATAATGTCCTTAATGATATCAAGTCCACCTCTGGTTTTTGTATTCTCCTTGGAGATTCATTAATCTCGTGGAAAAGTAAGAAACACAATGTTGTCTCTTGCTCTTCTATACAAGCTGAGTATCGTGTTATGGATGTACCTACATGTGAGATTGTTTGGTTGTGTTGGCTTCTTACATATATATGTGTTATCTCTCAACCTACCCCCTTACACTATGACAACAATATTGCGATGCAGATTGCGACAAATTTTGTTTTCCATGAGCGGATAAAGTACATCGGGATTAATTGTTATGTCACTCGTCATCATTTTCAGCTCAGAACCATCTCGATGCCATATGTACCACCAGCTTTGTAGATTATTGATATTTTTACGAAGGCTCATACGGCGTCTCGTTTTTGCTTCTTGACTGAAAAACTCTTAATGCTTATTGATGTAGTCGTGAGTTTGATGAAGAATATGAAGGTAATAAAGTATTTTGGGCATATTTTTTTTATTGGACTTTCATTTAGCCTTTTAACTGAATTAATATTAGATAGTTTTCGTATTTATATAGTTCTATTCTTAGTTTTGATTGTGATTACATTTTAATTCGATAACAAACCCTACCCACTTTTCATGTTTATTAGTAGTTTACATGAACAATATTCTTGCTTTCCATGTTTATAAGTCAAATATGGAATCTTCCTAATTAGAAAAGAAACAAACAAAACACAACATCTTTTTTCTAATATTTTTCTTCCAGATTTACGCATTAGTTTACTAAAATCACCATTCTGGGATATCGACGAAATAGTTGTGTTTAACAAACTTTTACTTATAATATTTAAATTATGGGATTCAATTATTAGTTAAATAAGTACATTATGTATCATATATATAAATCAAAGTTGATGAAGATAAGATATAAGACAGCCTAGTTACTAGAAAACATATAAATAGTGCCTCATGCTACTCTGCCTCCACTGCGAGCAACGCCACTACCGCGAAACTTATCCTTTTAGACGGCCAACTTGAAGAGTTTTCGTCGCCGATGAAGGTGTTCTTGTTAACACCACCGTTAGAAAACTTAGGGTATGATCAGGGGTCGTTCATTTGCAACGCGGATGAGATGAACTTTGATGGGTATGTAACCGCCATGGCTGGAGAGGAGGAGCTTCGTCCCAGTCAGCTCTACTTTCAACTGCCGTCCAGCTGGTTAAAAAGGCGGTTAACAGCGGAGGACATGGCTTCTATGGCGGTTAAAGCTGGTAAGGCACTTATGATTGGTGGTGGCAAGGTGAGATGTTGGTGTTGTGTGAAAAGGGTTGACCCGTTAGTTTTCTCAGATGGGGACGAGATGATAACATCTTCCTTGAGTAGGGTTGAAGATGGTGGTGATGATTATGAAGGAAACCACAGGTATGTATGCGGTAGAGTCGGAGACCGCCGTGGGGGTGGTAGTAAGGGGCGGATGTCTACCAGGCTTGAGAAGATAGTAGAGGAGTGACTGATGCTTTGAGGGCAATTTACTAGGCTAGAATAAGTGGTATGGATTTATATTTATTTCTTTATTCCGTTTTGAATAAGAGAATTAGATTAATTTCTCTATATTTTGTAATTAAAAAATAGAGGTGATGGTAAATATCATCAGGGCCGGTCCAAACGTCTTACGGGCCCAAGACAAAAAGAAAAAATAGGCCTCTAGAATAATAAATAAAATTTAATTTAATTTAAAAATAAACACATCGTTACAATGTCCACAAAAATCAATATTAATATTAGAAACATAAATATGACCACACCATTACCTAAAAGAGAAATTAGTATCATTTTAATTCAAATTAGTTTTTCTTCAATCAAACTAGACGAACTTAATGGTTTAAAAAAATTATGCATGGATCATTTATAAGTTTGATTGAATGCATCAAAAAAATTTCGTTTCTTCCTTTTTTGGCTTCCAGATAAATGTCTTTTGGAAAACATTGTAGATTGCCAATAGTTAAACACTATCTACTTATGGGAAAAGATTACATCTGATTTTTGATATATGATTTATGTCTCAAAGTTGTAGAAGCCTAATATCATATTCAATTTAAATCAAGGTGCAACTGCAAATTACAAACAATCAAACATCTGAAAATTAGAACTGGATTTAAAGTTTTGAATTCTGAATCATATATCAACAAAAAATATTACATTCTTAAGTAAAAAAATCTAAAACGTAGGTAGAAGATATAAAGTCAAGTATCGAGAAATCTGAGAACATCCAAAACCAGAAAAAAATATAAGCTTTCAGCATTTGATTAGATACCAGGACTAGGAACGTGAATACAAAATAAAATCAGAAACAACACTAAAACATCAGAAAAATTAGAATTGGATTTAAATTTTTGAGTTTTGAATCAGATATCTACAAAAAAAATTACATTGTTAAGTAAAAAATATGAAACGTAGGTAAAAGCTAGAAAGAATTGACAGTCCAGTCTCCAGCAATCTGAGATGAGACACAGATGCACAAACAAAATCAAAAAATAAATAAATAAATAATAAAAAAAATATAAGAAACATGAATAAGAAATCAAATCAGAAACTAATAATAGTTGAAAAACAAAAGAATCAGAGGAAAAAATACAAACAAAAAAATCTATAGCTAACCTTATGGTTTTTATCTCATTCGTCGGGTCCTTTGCAAATTTGCATTCAATCAACATAACTGATTATAATCTGAAGGCTGGTAAGAGACTACGAGAAGGGAAGAAGTCGCGCGACATAACTGATTATGAATCATTATTTTGATTAGGATTCACGAGGCAACGATTAGGATTCACGAGGTGTCGATTTGATTAATTGGTTCCCACCTGATGTGGATTCCTGAAAGACACCCTAAAACGGACGTGTTTGCTTAACGTTACTTCAAAACGCATTCCAGAGTCTAGATAAAAAGAGGTTATTTCATTGGGCTAAAGTTAGGTTAATTTGGTAATTGGGCCCTTAGAAGAGATATATATAAAATTTATTTTTTATATATGTATATATATTATATATTTCAGAAATTTTGGGCTCCTAAGAGTCGTGGGCCCTGGGCGGTCACCCGGGTTGCCCACCGTCAGGACCGGCCCTGAATATCATCTTCAACACACCTTTATATTTTAATTTTAAAATAGAATAAAAATAAAATAAATGGTATTTTATTTTCAAATATATTTCATTTGGTATACCAAAAAATTATATTTCCTAATACTTTTTTTTAACTTATAAAAATTATCAAAAACATCTTTCAACTTATTAGAATTTAAAAAGTATTCATAATTTCTATATAAATTTAAATATTATATTTTTTATTTTTCATTAATTAAAATTAGTAAAATGACAGTTAATTAATTAAAATAAAATCTAAAAATAATAAATCTATAATGCAAGGAACTAAGGGACTACTAAAATTGAAGTGGAATTTTGATGTGGTAATTGAAAAGTTTCTTGATCTATATGGCTACTAAAATTGAAGTGGAATTTTGATGTAGTACTTGAAAAGTTTCTTGATCTATATTAGCTAGTGGGGTTGAATTTCGTTTACTCCAAATTAAATAGGCTTGGAAATGAAAATGGGGGTTAAAAATTAAGACTATAAATAAATGAATCAAATAAATACAAACATGAGTTTATTGATCGTTCGTTTAAGTTAACTAAAACAAATAAACAACTCAAGAATGGATAAACGATTGAATTTTCTTATTTATGTTACTCGTTTAAAAACATTAAATTGTTCATGTTCGATCATTTATATTGATTAAGATGTTAAACAAACATAAATAAACGAATAAACGACGCATATAATTTACACTAGTACAAAATTGGTCTTTGGCCACGCAAAAAACCTATCACTATAGACATTTTATGACGGGTTTTTTTTTTCATTCAATGTGAAAGGAAATGTCACATCCTTAAAAGGTAAGTTATGATGACGTTTAATTGTGGGGACTATAACCCATAAAAACTGTTACGATAGGTGAAAACCGTCACCATAGGGTACTAATTTTTGTAGGTTTTTCAATCATTTTTGATAACTGTCACCATAAACTACTTTCCCTCACAAGTTGTTTTGTTTTCATGACTATTGTTGAATTTTAGTGACACATAATAGATTAAAACATGATCATAAACTACATTTACTCACATGTTTTTTCTTTGGTCATGACTATTATTCACTTTTAGTGACATTTAATATATTAAACCGTGACCACAAACTACTATTAGTCACATGTTCTTTCGTTTGTCATGACTATTGTTGACTTTTAGTGACATGTAATATATTAAACCGTGACCATAAACTACTTTTAGTCACACGTTTTTTTCATCTGTCAAAACTATTATTGACTTTTAGTGACACATAATAGATTAAACTGTGTCTATTGTTGACATTTAATCACTTTTTTGTTTGTCATGACTATTGTGGAACAACTTAAAATAAATTATATGCCAATATTGACCAATTAACATCATGTACGTTATTTTCATAAACAACTTAAATTAATAAATAAAATACAACATTCACATATACATTCACATAGGGATGAGCATATGGACCGGGGAACCGGCCGGAACCGGTACCGGAACCAGAACCGGCACCGGAACCGGAACCCGATGGAACCGGTTGGACTGGGACCGGGACATTATTTTTGTGGATTTTTGGAACCTGGAACCGGTAGGAACCGGAACCGATATAACCGGAACCGGTAGAACCGGCATAAACCGGTAGAACCGACAAAAACCAGAACCGTATGATGCTATTTTTCGAGGACCAGTTCCAACATTTGAAGACACGACAAGAACCGGTAGGAACCGGGAACTCGTACAACCGGAACCGGTAGAACCGGCGGTCCGGTTCGGTTCCTATTTTCCATCAAGTTCGATTCCCGGGCCGGTTCCGGTTCGGGCCGGTTCCAGCCGGGTCGGTTCCTTTGCTCATCCCTACATTCACATTCACATATAGAAAGTATGTTTACAACAACAATTTGATAAATCATTACAAGAAGTCGGCTTCTGCAATTGAATTCATAACATGTTGTAACACTCGGTTTTGAATCGTTTCATTATTCGGGATCATGGCTCGATTGTTGGTTATCCTAAGGCTTAAGGTCTTGGGAAAGAATGGAATTGACCCTGTTTGGACGGGGGAGTTATAGATTAAGTGTTCCGAGTGTTCGATTGTGTTTCGGAGCCCAATGGTATAATCGTAATTTGGCAGCTCGGTCCTTTATGAATTTTAGGTTTTTATTCGAGAGGTTTTAAGGTGACGTGAGTTGATGGAAGTGTTGGGCTTCTCGTTACCTTTCCGTGGATATAAAGTTCATTGGAAACGGACTTAAGACGGAAGAGTTATGGCCAATTAAACAACATGGGATTTGGAGCTTGGTTGAGTACGTGGGGCGTACTCACCAATTACGCTGGGCGTAGAGGGTTAAATGATCGTGGGTCCTTTTTTAGTACACCAAGCGTACTAAGGGGTACACGGGGCATACTCCCATCAGCAAGAAACCCTAAATTTGAGGGTTGTACCCTATTTAAGCCATAAATTAGCCACTTGTTGCTTTGTTTAATCAGTCTCCTCACCCTTGAAAACCCTAATTCATTCCTTAGCCAATGTTTGGTGATTTTGAGCTTTTGTGAAGCGTTTGTGGAGGGTTTTGTGCATCTTGAGGAGGAAGGTGAAGCTTGAAGACTCGTTCCTTGGATGAGGGCTTTGAGATCCAGCTTAAGCACCTTATTTTGGTGGCTTGTGAGGTATAAAGTTCAAACCTTGCCATTTCATTTCTTAGATCTACTTCTTGGCATGTTTTTAGTCATTTGGTCCTTTTTGGTTGGTGGTTGGAGGTTAAGGTCGTTTTTGGAGCTTAGCTTTATAGATCTGGACATATTAAGGGTTCCTTAGGCATAAAGGTACAAACTTTATGGTGGTTTGGGTCTCATGTATGTATTTAGTCATTCATTAAGCGCTTTTGAGCTCTAGTGCCCCATTTAGCCATGCATGCACATAAAGTTGGCAACTTTATGTGATTAACCACCTTGAGAAAGTCAAATATGAGTTTGGATCAAAGTATTAACGGGTTAAGAGCTGAAATGGAAAAGTTGGCCAAGTTGATGAGTACACTTGGCATACAAGTTTGTACGCTGCGTGTACAAGCCGTTTATGCAGTATGTTGGGCGTACAGGCTGAGTATGCCCCTGTACTCAGCAGACTTGGGTTTCATTATTTTTGGCTTCGGCTTTGGGTTAGGAGGGCTTGGTTGTCTTGGGCCATATTGGGTCATCATAATTTTTATGGTTGGACTATCGAAAGTTTATTGGAATTTCTTGGGTGAATGCTCTTGAAAGGGATAGGGCCCAATTTGGAAATTTGGGCCATATTTGGCCTTAGGTGCTTATTTTTGATTTTGGGCCTTTGGATTATTGGTTTGGGCCTAGGTTTGGGGCTTGTTGAGTAAAGGGTAAAAATTTCTTTTAGCCTAG